GTCTTTGCTGAATCGTCTGAATTTATTCTTTTTCGGAGAGAGAGAGAGTTCTTTCTAATACCCGCTCTTGAAACAAAGACGGGAGATTTTTCGTTAAGACTCGATGGGGGAACAGCCTCAGCCTGGTAAAAGACTGGTTGGTGGTCTGTCCATCGGTTTCTCCAGCTGGGGGAGAGTCGTGGGCGTGGACGAGAAACGTTCAACGCCCCCCCCCCATCTGCTGGATGTTTGGAACACCCGATTGAAATGTTCCGAATACAGCGTGGCAAACGAAAGGCTAAAAATTATCCGATTAAAAACTAACTAGTTAGAAGGAAGTAGGATCAACTTGATGACTTGGTGGTCTGCGTTGGCTGGACGATCTTCGCACTCGCCCGGGACGGTTTGGGGCTTGCACTCGTAGGTCGTGGCCACCTGGCACGCCGTGGTCTCGGTGGGTCTGCACTCTCCGGGTGTGGTGGTTGTAGTTCTGCACTCGGCGGTGGTGGTGTCCGGCGTGGTCTCCTGTTGTTCCTCCGTAGTTTCAGGTTCTGTGGTCTCCAACGCCACCTCTTGTGTAGTCTCCAACGCCACCTCTTGTGTAGTCTCCAACGCCACCTCTTGTGTAGTCTCCAACGCCACCTCTTGTGTAGTCTCCAACGCCACCTCTTGTGTAGTCAGTTGCACCGGGTCCGTTGCAGGCATGGTCTTGCCCTCCTCCGTCTCCGCTGTGGTTTCCGCTTCAGTTACTGGAGCCGCAGTTGTTTCGGGTGTTGGTGTAGAGCACGAGGAGCTGAGCAGCTCTGGCAGAAGTTCCAACAGTTGCTTCACTGTCGCGTCAGGTTGATCGACGTCCATTTGCAGGACGTAATGGTCGGGCTGTTCCAGCACCTTGTTGATTTCCTGCCACTTGTTCACGACTGTGCTGGAGACGTCGGATGGCAGAATAAAAAGCACTTTGGCTCCGTACGTCTGCGTAACGTTGGCAGCCTGTGCGTAGTCGGGGTACTCATATTCTTTGCAGAGTATGTCTGAGCTGTAGTTGTCGGGGTCGTTTGGATAGACGGGCATGTACTGAGGGGGTGGCACGGGCGACGCAATGGGCCAGGAGGGGTCGTAAACGCCGTTGTAAATGATGTAGTCATTTGGGTCATGTGGGGTGGCGTCTGTGTTAAGAATCAGGACTTTGCTTGACTCAGACCTCCAGCCCAAAGTACGACTGACCATCGCGTCTATCAACGCCTCCAGCGACGCCTCAGGCTCATCCGCTCCGTAATTGCCGTCCAGGGCCTCATACGTCGCCGACAACTTGGTCACATCTGACTCCAGAGATGTCTCCTCACGATAACAGTAATCTTCATATGGGTCACCCAAATAAGAGTAAGGCTTGTCACGGAAGCTAACCAACGCGTAATGAGCGTCCACCAAAGACTTATTGGCCTCTTCCATAAACTCCTCCATCGCTCCCGCGATCTTCGGCATCGGCTGCCAGAACGTGCCCGTCGCATCCTGTACAATTACAAGGTCCAGCGGCAACTGGGTACAACTCTTCGCTGCACAAACCGCCGCCAACAGAATAAACGACTTCATAGCAAGAGGAGTAACTGTACAAAGATGCTATGCTGGCTAATGCGGAATGCTGAGCCCACGGAAGAGGCAACCGTGGAGACAATATGTCTCGGATGCGCGCACCGTGACGATGGGTTGACAACCATGTCGGCATGTTGCCATGGGTTGTGGTTACACTTGCCGAGTTTTGTCTGGTCGTGTTCAGTCGTCAGCAGTTTGGATCTGTTCAGTCATTGTAAAAAGTTGGTTGACTTTGGCGACATGTTTGACAAGCTCGAAAAGTCGGTCTTCAAAGAGGGTAAGTTGAGCGAGTACTTGGGTGGCTCTGCGTTCAATAGTCGCAAGACGCGCGAGGTCCAGGTCGTTTCTGCGGACAGCGTCGATGAGACCTTCTGAGGCGGTCATAAGCTGTAATTGTTCGCATAAGGTAGCAGTGTGTAGTAGACGTTGTTCATTTTGAATGATGATGGCGGTCTTCTCGTTGACGTCTAGAGCGTGTAGTTCCAATTCAAAGGGGTCTTGGCCGTCGATGAGCCCGACCTTGGCGCAGAATGCGTCCAGGAAAGCAAGTCTGCTCTTCTCAAAAAGACTCTGCAATGTCCGACCCAGACAAACCACTTGCTGCTGCATGGTCCTCGTCTGCGCTAACGTGTGGCAGATGTCGTTGATCCAGTTCTTGTCCACTCTCGGGTTCGCAGACGCAATTGCCTGCACAATCTCTAACACGTCTTGCCGGTCTAACAACTCCGGCCGACCCAACGTACCACTGCCACTGGTCGTACCACCACCACCAGTGGTTGTACCAACACCACCAGTGGTTGTACCACCACCACCGATCGCGCCCGCCCCCGTGGTCGTACGACCTGCTGTCGGACGACTCGTTGACGGGACCGCGTTGGCCGGAATGCGTAACAGCCGCAGATAAGGCGTCCAGTCCACTTCCGCGACGTCCCAGAAGGGCGAGTCGTCCACCACCATCCGACTTGGCCTCAAGTAGCGCTGCAGCCGATCCAGTCGGGCACGCAACTCCATCAACTGCTCGCTGGCAGCCACCGGAGTCCGCTCCGTTGACCTGGGCTCCGACTCGCACAGTATTTGCGCCGGATGCAGTTTGCGCGCCTGCGTCTCTCCCGCGCCTCGAGACCCAGGCGACAACAGATTCGAAGACAGCCTGTTCGCTGGCGACCCTAACTGCGCCTGCTCGCCACTAACGCTTCCCACAGCATTGCTCCCTACAGCATTGTTCCCCAGCCGCCCAGACGTAGTCCTTTTGCCGCCCATGTCGATTGAACCTGAACGTGGTCCGTCGAGCGAGCCGGAACCTGTTCCAGCTCGCTCAGCTGACACCTTCTGCTCGCTCCCCTCCCGAGCGAGCCGAGCAAGGTCGCTCACTTGCCGCTCACTCATCTTGCGATCAACCGGTCTCGGCGGACGTCTGTCGGTTGGCGGACGTCCGTCGGTTGGCGGCCGTCCGTCGGCCGGCGGTCGTCCATCTGTCGGCGGTCGCTCCCTCTCGGTCGCCGCCTCCCCACTCGGCAGTTTAGCCGGCCCGCGAAGGCTCGACTTGTGACTCAGCTTCAACGCCGACGGTCCCCGCAACGAAGACAGCAACCCCGACCCCGCCGCGCGCAACGACGCTGAGGTGCTGCCTAGCCCCGCGGATCTGTCAGATGTCTTAGGGCTCGACTCCTTGCGCTCTGCCGGGCCGGGGGCAGCCTTGCTGCTCGGGGGGGTTTTTTGCTTGGCCTGGTCCATTCAAAAATGTATGACATGACCGACCTCGTTGCCGAGGCCCTCGCGGACTGGAGCAAACCCGCAGCGTATGCTATCAACACAGACGACGAAGACGAAGACGAGACCAAAGGCACCAATGACTGGGCACAACTGGGCCTGCATCCAGCCCTCGTCAAAGGTAACCTCCCACCATTCACTGCATCCCACCAACACCCCTACCCTTCCACTAATGTTGCAGGTGTAACGGAGCACATGGGCATTCGGAAGACGACTGCGGTACAAAGGTTGGCGGTGCCGGCGATTCTGTCTCGGCAGCATGTGATTGCGACGGCGGAGACGGGTAGCGGAAAGACCTTGGCGTTTGTGTTGCCGATCTGCAACATGATCTTGGACGATATGCGTGACGCACACTGCGGAGTGGGGCGGCCGTTGCCGCCACCCACGCGCGGGTTTGCGCCGGGCATAGGGCACTTCCGTGCGCGGACGCAGCCGCAATGGGTGACGCCACAGACGATTCGGTGTGTGGCTTTGAGTCCGACTCGGGAGATCGCAATTCAGACGCAGCGCGTGGTGATGAGTGTAACGCAGGACACGCCGATCACGAGCACAGTAGTTTGCGGCGGGACCAAGCACGCCGCGCAGGAAGCCGTGCTACGTCGCGGCGTCAACTTTGTCTGCGCCTGTCCCGGGCGTCTCCTCGACGTGCTCGCGAACGGCCTCCTCGAAGCCTTCTGCCACTTGCGCCAAGTGGTGCTCGACGAAGCCGACCGTATGCTCGGCCTTGGCTTCGCACCTGACGTGGCCACGATCCTCTCTTCCTTCCGCACCGCGGAACAGGTTCTGCTCTTCTCCGCCTCACTGCCCGCACCGGTCCTCAAGGTCGCCAAGCAGTTCATGCCGGGACGCGTCGTCCGAGTAGGCATCCTCGACGGAGGGGGCGTCTGCCGCTGCGAAAACATCGAGGAAGCCGTTTTCCAGGTGCCAGAACTACTCAAGCTCGATCTGCTCCGCTACCTACTTATCAACACCACCGATATGCTGCCCAACACACCAGGCAATATTGCCCGGGCGTCTCCAGACCGTGCTGCGACAGCAAACGCTGCTCCAGCGAACGCTGCGCCGACGGCGGCGCCCGAAGGGGGAGAGGAAGGAGGGGAAAAGCGGCTGGGCGAGAGTTCGCCGGCTTCTACGGCCGCCAGCCCCACGGCGAGCCCGCAGAGTCCTTCTGCCGGGCCGCCGGCGGCGGCGGTAGACGCTTTTGAGCCGCGGCCATTGTTGACTTTCGATATTGGCCGCGATACGCCGCGCGTTTTGCGCGCACACACGTGTGCGAGCGCGGTGAGCGCCGTAAACGAGGACGTCCCGCGGGGCGCAATTGAGTCCGAGGTGACGCCGGTGGTTGGCGGTCAGTGTATCGTCTTTACGCGGACCAAGGCGCGCGCGAACCGCGTTTGCGAACAGTTGCGGTTGCATGGGTTTTCGGCGGAGAGGATTCACGGCAATCGGAGCCAGGCAGCGCGCGTGAAGGCGATGAATATGTTTGTGTCCGGCGACTGCCAGATCTTGGTGGCGACGGACGTGGCTGCTCGCGGGATTGACGTGTATGAAATCCCGCTGGTGGTCAACTTTGACTTGCCCGCGACAGGCGAGGAATACACTCACCGCGCTGGGCGCACTGGACGTGCTGGGCACGAAGGCCAGTGCTGGTCGTTCGTGAGTGAAATGGAAGAGTTGACGCAGATCCAGGAGGATCTGGGACGAAGTTTGGGCGGTGCTCTGAAACAGCTGGAACACTTTGACTTTCACAAAGAACCGGACTTTGTGATGACCGCCAGCGGCCACCAAGAAGAAATCAGTCCTGCACCTGTGAAACCGACCCCGGCCCGCCGCAGCCTCGAACCCAAACGGAATTTAACACGGGCCGTCAAGCACGGACCCGGACCGGGAGCGGGACCAGGAGCTGCCGCTGGTGGGCTTCGGAGGACTAGTTACGGCAGCGGGTATGCAGAAGACAGGTACGGAGAAGGCAGGTATGCAGACCAGAGGTACGGAGAAGGCAGGTATGCAGAAGGCAGGTATGGAGGCGACGGCCGTCGGAAACCGAGTTACGAGTTCAAAAAAAAGTTCAACAAACGAAGCAGCTTAGAGAATAAGCGAGGGAGTTTGGATACAAAGCGGGACAGTCTTGACAAAGGCGCCAGCCTGGACGATGGTCCTGGGCCGGACGCAATCCACAACTCGCAACGATCTGGCCCAGGACCTGCGTCCGGCATCGGACTGTCCATCCACCAACGAAGATTGAGCGAAGGCAATCAGGAACACCAACAAGTAGGGAATCAGCACTTCCGGCAACGATCCGGCTACCGTCAGCGACCCGAAGAAAAAAGACTAGCTACCCCTCCAGGACTCCAAAAAGCGAAATGGAACCAGCGAGGCAATCCGACTGAAGACAACCCACCCAGACGCATCACCGCACTAGGACACGATCGGGTTATGCACTTGGAAGAAGGCAGGTCCCTCCTCTCAGGCAAAGTCATCAACAAAAACGGCAAAGAATACAACCTCGAGGACTTCTTTTAACTAACCAGGTTCATATAACGCGCATTCCCCGTCTTTTTTGAAACTTGAAGCTTCCTCGAAGCTCGAACGAAGAAACGTGATTCGAAGGCCATCCATCGGAATGCGGTCTAGCTTCGATCTAGCTAACTAACTACAAACTATCGGAACAACTGTCCGGGCGCAGTACGGCCTTGTCGATCTCTCGGGCTGCCGGCTTGCAGTGCTGCAGGCGTGCTTTTTTTACGCTGCCGCAGGCCCAAATCGAACAGCGCACACGCGTCGACTAACATATATTATCTCCAACATATGCTTCCTGATGAGGTTTTCACGTATGCGGGTTACATATATAGAGCAATGTAGGGCTTTTGAGTTAGTGCCTGCTTGAAGTGGCGGCTAAAAGCTCCGCGATCGTTTGTCCTGGCTGTCTTCTCCATCGAACTTACCAGGAACGGTATTCTGTCGCTGTTTAGGCCAAGTTGCTGCAGGGCCCAATGATGCTCGAATTCCCTTTCCTCCATCTCCTGTACTATTTCGGAGAGGGACTGTCTCAAGTCCGTGCTACCACAGGACTCGTCAAACTCGGCTAACGCGGAGAGCACTCGGGTTCGCAGTTCCTCGGCATTTAGGACGGGCGATTTGATCCGAATCATGACGCCGTTGTGCTTTAGATCTCCCGGCCAGAATGAAGCGTCGACCACGTAGCCGATGTGCTCTTTATTACGAAGTTCATTGAATAGGTAAGTAGACAATTTCTGGCCAAGGCATCTTCCATGCAATCGGTTCAGTGCCTGAGAGAAAATGGCTGCCTCAGCCGGGGGGAAAGTCATCATAGAAAGGGGAGGCGCTCGTGACCATGGACGGAGACACGTGTAACGGAGACACCCGTGACTATAGACGGAGGGGGGGGGCGTATCGTGCCGATACACCGGGGGGGAGGAGTCTGTGGTAAGGGAGTCAGTGCAAGTTGGTGGGGTCGCTTACTAGAATGTCAAGGTCATCATGAAGTTTGACAAACGCGGTGCCTTTGGGAACAAATGTTGGTATGGGCACGAAGTGCAGATAATCCGTATTCCTGTCTAGGTCCCCGTTCCTTTCGTGGAGACTGCAGAACTGCGCCACCGGCGCCGATAACAAATCCGTTGTGGAGAGAGACTGGCGGCTGAGTCCTTCGCTGTTGAAACCCAGCAGCGGGTCCATGAAAGCTGGGGCGTCACACGTGTCCTCTTCGATGCGCCCGGTCAGGTCGTCCTGTTGTTCAGGATGAGGGTCCGCAGCAACAGAGCCAAGTTCCCGGTCGCGGAGTAGGTGGTCGAGGAGGGCTCCTCGTCGTCCGCCCACGGCTCGCTGCAGTCTTTGGACGTGTCTGGAGGCGCCCACTCGCTCTTTTATCAACTCACTGACGTCCAAGATCAGTGTTTCCTCCGGCATCAGAAACTCTTTTATGGATGGTGCCACACTGGAGTCCACGCAAACCGTGGTTCGATCCAACGCTTGTGCGACACTTCTATCATTCTGACTACCATTCTGATCATCATGCTGACTATCACGCGGACTATTATCCCCGCCATTGCTGCAATCGATGCTCGCAAGGAACCGCCCAAGAGGTTGTTCTAATGTGTCGCTGCCTCCTTGAGTCAAACCAGACAAGCCACCCCTAATGACGGCACGGGGGGATGAGAATGTAGTCTTCCGTGTAGTGGCCTGCTTTAGTAACTGACTCAGCATGTCGTACTTGTGAAAACTAAAACAGGGTCCAAGTTAGACCCGTCTAAGGGTACTAGGTTCAGAAGTGACAGGGGTGCAATTGTTACAAGGTCATGTGATCAGGATCAATGATGCTTTGCAGCTGGTCAAGCAGCAACATGAAACCTCTCGGTGGCGGATCAGATACCAAGTCCCGGAAAACCAGATCCAGTATATGATCAAGTTTCGGCTTCGAAGCACTGCCCTTGGCCACAGCCTGAAGGAATTGATCCGGCCATTGGTCATTTCGATATGGGCTGGAGAACTTAAGAGAAGCCGCTCCAATTCTATCTCCCAAGACCTCAAAGTCTACCGAGCAATCGGTAGATTCCTCGGACAACTTTTTTGCCGAATCCCGCGCTATTAAGGACCATAAGTAAACAGAGCTCGAACGCCAATCCAATGCAAATGGGCTGACACTCTCACCATGATCATTCTCACCATGTTCACTTTCACCGTGGTCGCTCTCACGGTCAACCGGACCAAACTGCTCGTTGGGATGTGGCATACCATCTGCCGTAATATCTAGTCTGAATTTCACCACAGGCTTTTTTGATGCCTTCATTACCTGCACAAATTCGGACGGAGGGCTCCACGAGTCTTGCCCGGTTCTCGGACCGTTGGCTAACACCGGTCCGCAAGACCGCGGGAAGATATGGTCATCTCCCACGTCTATGTGGGCTTCGGAGTCTGTCAATGCCTCATCTGTATGGCGATGTTC